TTAACAGAGCTTGAAATGTAAGAATAAGTACTTACAGATAATTATTCAGATGTTTACAGCTTGATATAATATGTATTAATAGCTACTAGAAGTATTCACAGTAGAAAGATAAATATAGAGATTAAATGTATAATAGTTTTTAAGCTAAGTTATTAATAGTATTCATGAACTTCAGTCTATATAGTTGTATGTAGTCAAGAGCCGCTAACTCTATTAATTACATCATGTACATGAGGAATAGAAATAGAGATAAATAATCTGTAAGAGACGGAAATTCTTACATATTTACATTATCTTGATTATCTGAATTTTACAGATACTCAGAGACTTATCTTGTATTAATAAAAGAATTTCAGAAATGCACTGCTGTGTAAGAACTATTAAGAGAGAATCTAGATATATTTTCATACATCTGATCAGAGATTGTGTAAGTAGACAGAGAGTAATTATAAACTCACAGAGCTGTAAGGAGTACTGACAGTACTGAAACGTTTATAAGATAAACTATCATGTATAATCTGTAAGAAACTACTTATAAAATACTTATAGTTAAGAGTGAGACTGTACTACTAAGAGTTAGACATTAATTTGAAAAAGATACAGAGTTAGCTGCTGTTCTGAAGATTAAATACAGTGACAGAGCTGAGAAAAAGAAAAGTAGAATCAGAGATAACAGTACCTCTGTATTATCAGCTGATAGAAAGTAATCAGAGATATTATAAAAACACTTATAAGAAACTCAGTAATAATTCAATTTATTCATAAAGTTATTAAAAATTTGAAAAAATTTGATTCTTGAAAAGCTCTTGAACTAATATATAAATATTGTTAGAAACACTCTCTCTCTATTATCTGAGTGAAAATACTTTGTAAATGAATGAGAATACTCTCAGATTATAAGAATAAGAGCTGTTATAGAAAAAGAAAAAAGCAGATGAAATTCTGCAGATAAATCTGAATTTTTTATACTACTCTAAGAAGGTTTATTTATACTATAAGTGATTTTATAAAATAATCAGATTACTTTAATAAATAAAGAGTGATTATAAATCACACATCTGAACTTTTTAAAATAATTATAAAAACCAATTACAGACTGTAGACATTTTAATTCTATAATTTTACAGAGTTAATAAAAGAATGAAAGATTTCTTATAGCTAGACTGACTGTGTGACCGTGTCTGAGATCAGAACCAGAATCTTTGATAATCTCATTATCAATTTAATTGATTTCATTACACAGTTTTAAGATTATATAGTGCTCTTATACTGTCTCAGTGAGACTTACTGTCTACTCTTATCACATTGTTTAAATGAGATTATGATTTTCACTTCTCAATTTAAATTTGTTTTATTGTTTTAAATGACTTTAAATCTCATTTAAGTGTTATCAAAAAGTGTTACTTTTTAAAAAATTAAAAATAGTCTAAAAAAAACCTTAAAATGTCTGAAAATAGTAACTTTATACTAAGAATGAAACTAAATGAAATTAAATGAGATCACTTTCTTATTTTTTCTAAGTTATGATCTCATTTTGAAATCTGATAAATAGTCACTTTACATGTTTTTTTTTTTTGATGCTTAGTCTCAAACTATCTAGAAAAGGATTTGGAAAAGATAATAGCTACTCAACTATCTTTTATAAGCTCTATTAATAACTCTCCTTTATTCAGTGACTAAATTAGAGGTAGAAAACAATGTTCTGCAATTGACACTGTTCTCTCAGTTGTTCATGATATTCAAATAGCAAAGTATAAAGGTTTGGTATCAACTGCAGTTTTTATTGATATAAAAGAAGCATTTGACCATGTTTCAAAGTCAAAGTTAATTCAGACTTTGAAGATGTTAAAACTGCCACTTTCTCTAATAAAATGAGTTAACCATTTTATGTCTAAAAGAATCACACAACTTTTCTTTGATGAAATGAAACAAGACAAGACTGAGATAAAAATAGAAGTACAGTAAGAATCTTCAATCTCATTCATTTTATTTACAATATACACTGCATATCTATTCAATGATAGAAATATGGAAGTAGTGTGATCTCTGAGTTATGTAGATGACATTGGTCTGATATACAGCTTAAAAACTATCAAAGAGAATTTGAAAGTGATTGAAAAAGCTGTAAAGAAAATCTTTATTAGAGCAGATATCAATCAAATTCAATTTAATAGAAATAAAACTGAGTTACTTCATTTCTTTTCTAGATTCAATGAGAAAGAACTATCTCTATCTCTTTTAAATAGAGAGATTAAACCAAGTTTAAATGTCAAATGATTAGGAGTATGGTTAAACTCTAAGTTGAATTTTAAATATCATATTCAACAAAGAACTGTCAAGACAGAAAGACTATTAAACAACATTATCAGACTATTAAATACAGAGAGAGGTCTATTCTTCCAGGCTATGAGACAGTTATATATAGCCTGTATTATCTCAGTAGCTGATTATGAAGTTCAAGTTTAATAGAATAATCAAGAAAATTTCACTGAACTCTTTCAAAGTCTGTAAAACAGAGCTTTGAGAAGAATTCTAAGAGTATTCAAATCATCTTCTATTAAAGTAATGGAAATTGAAGCTTCAATTCCTTCTTCTGCTATTAGATTTGAAAAGACCTGTATGAACTATACTCTGAGTGTTATAAAGATGAGCTTAAATTATATAATCAGACAAAGAGTCTCTTATTCATTTTCACTAATTATCTCTGAAAATGAACTGAATTGAAATAGATTTGTTGATTGAAATGAAAATAATTCTTCAAAGAAAATGTCTTCTCAACTGTACAGACTATACTCACTGATTAAAAATCAATTTTCTTCTTTAAATATTGAAAAAGTTGATTATGAGAAGTTATCTCTCTGAAGAGAAAAGCTTAAATCTCTTATAGACTTGTAAATAAGTGAACTATTTAAAGAGAAAGAATATAAACAGCATTTGAAGACAATTTCTACAATTAATATAAAAGACTCTATTCTGATTTATTCAGATGGCTTAAAAAATGAGAATTTGAATAGATTAGATGCAGACAATGCTTATACTGAAGATAATATTAATTTTATCTCAGATTTCTGAAATCTAGGCTGTGAATCTGAAGTCTTTGACACTGAACTATTTACAATAGTGAAAGCTTTCAAACTTATTGAAATAAAATCTCATAAAAGAGAAAATAGTTTGAAAGAGACATAAATATTCTCTGATAGTCAAGCTACTTTAAAAAGACTTAGAAATAGTCAGATTTATAATAATTAAATGAATCTTAAACTGATCTTAAACTCTGTTTTAAAAATTGAAAAGAGAAGAATATCAAAGCTTCTAATTCATCTGCACTAAGTTCCTGCTTATATGAATATTCATGACAATGAATTAGCTGATTCAGCTGTAAAAAAAGGTTCAGAACTAAGCAGATCTATTCAAAAAATTATGTCCTGATCTTTTATAAAGAGAAAAATAAAAGAATCTTGTTTAGACAAGTGAAATGAAAGCTGACAGAAATAAAAGAAGAGTATACATTATTCAAGATTTGAAATAAAACCCAAGTGGAAATCTAGTTTAATTAAATGTAAAAAGAAAATATACTCATCTATAATACAGCTAAAACTAGAACATGGTGATTTCAAATCTTATATACAAAGATTTGATGATGAATTTGATTCAATAGAATGCTCATTCTTCAATGTAAATAACAATTGTGAGTATATTATAATGCACTGTGTATTATACAATAGTCTTAGAGTCAGATTGAAAGAGAAGTATAATCTAAATCAATTAAATATGAGATTCTTATTCTCAACTGAGACAGGAATTAAATACTTAATAGACTTTCTATCAGAAACTCAAGCAGTTACAAGAAAATAACTGAATTCAGAAATATCTGAATATGAAGAGAAGACAATTGATCAGATATAGTCTGTTAAAACAGCTATATACTATCTTTTGAGAATTTGTTTCATTACAGTCTCTCTTTATTTTACTTTATTTTTTCCTTTCTATTCTTTTCTATCTATCTATTTAATATGTCTATCTTTTTAAAACTGTGTTCTCTTTTCCTTTGTCATGATATTGTCAAATGATTTCAAAGTATCAGAAGATGTTAAAACACTGCAATTTGTAAACAGTTTTTGTATTCTGAGCTGGAATTTTCTGATTTTGCATATCTGAAATTGGTAAATGTATGATAGTTATCTTTATAGATATAGGAAAAACCCTGAGAACTTTTAATTCTCAGGTAGATGTCATAGTCTCTGACTGCATTGTGATTCAAAGGTTGCTTAAGCCAGCGTACGATTACAGGCGTACGCCGGCTTCTTATATATTGTAATATCATATGCTGAATTAATTAGCAGCTGCTATGGCCCCTTTACACTCATACGCGTACGCTAGTAGTTCAGAAGTGGCCGCGTTATTATTCAACAGTTGTACATTCTTCCAAACCACATTCTCTCTCACCAGATTCGGTCACGCTCATGTGATCATATCATACACTCTAGCTTCATGTGAATTAGCTCATCACTAGCATTTCATGATCATGTGACCTATTCCTGATTCAGCTAGCATTCTGTGTACACTCTCACAAAGAAACTTTCACTATATTATATCACTTATTCACTAACTTTTCTCATTCTTCAATCATCTTCTTCATCATCATCATTATCAAATGTCACTATCTTATTCAAGATTTCTATCTCTTCTTCTGTTCAACTCTTTTCATCTGTTTATCTATCACATTATACATATTTCTGGCAATGACTTTCTGTTCTCATAACAAGTGTCATTGTAGTACTCATATCAGGCAGTTCATTAGCAGTAAGTGTAATGTGTTGTGAAATGTGATCAGAACTTGTTTATCTTCTAATAATTGTCAGAATGTATTATCATCAATGACACATCTTCTTCATCTTCTTATACATGTCTGACTGTTTTCTTCAGTGAGTTTCTGATTGTGTTTTCTGACACAATTTTGCATGAATGCAGATGCTGATATGTTGTTTTTATTCATGTAGAATCTTTATATGTTGACAGATCTGCATCTGCTGATAATAGTGAACTCAATGTTGAATCATTGATCAAGAACTTGAAGAATGTGATAATGAAGAAATTGTCTGTGTCATGTGTGACTGAGTCTTCTGCATTTCTCTCTGCTCTCTCTGTTTCTTTCTCTGCTGCTCTCTCTCAATCTTCTACATCTGTCTCTGTGTCTCATTCTTCTACTTCTGCTACCTCTGTTCCTGTGACTCTCACTTCTGTCACTTCTGGTTTTGCTGTCTCTGCTTTTGTGACCAGCTCTCCCTGTTTCAAGAAGATGTTGTATAGACTTAATGAATCACATCTCTCAGTGTATACACTTTTATTCTTCTTACTGATCTCTAGAATAATTTATTATATGAAGACTGTGTATAACATAACTATCTGAAGCTTAGTCACAGACATCAATTATTATATTTATTTTAAATATTTATAGTGAGACAATTATCTGTTCATCTCAGATAATTACTCTCTCTCTCAATAGTGTTGAGATTGAAAGTCTTTTTCTTTTTCATCTTTTCTTTCTAATGCTGATTTTTCTGTTCTTAGAACAAATCATTATAAGTTTTACTGTGTATGAAGTCATAATATTCACAGATATCAAGAAGCTTTTCATAGCTGTAAAGTTTAATATTATAGAGATATCTGCTCTAATGAATTTCTTCAGAATGATAGATTTATATCAGCCTATTCTCTGATATCTGTCATTTAACTTTGTAGTGCAGGTGAAAGATATTCATGTTTTCAGAAATGAGAATGCAGATGTTGTACTCTTTTATATCTATGAATATAAGACTTGTACATCTTATCTGAGATGTTATTGTGAGAATGAGCTGTTTGTATGCTGTATTCTGCTTTCTGTATTCTCTCATGTCTCTCTCTCTCTTTCTGAGAAGTCTTATATGTGTTGTAATTGCATGTACAACTCTAAGATCAGCAGATGTTCATTCAGTAACTGTTTCTATCTCTGATTTTGTAATTTTCATACACTAACAATGATTCTTAGTTTCTCTGATATCAGAGATCATTTTAATTAAAGATGATAACACTGCTGAGACTATTCTCTTCTGCTCTTAAGCTTCTTCTGTTACTTTCTCTTCCTTCTCTGCAGAGAAGATTGTGCATATATCAGATCATAAGTATTCAGCACTGAATGACTTCTGCTGTTATTTATTCAGTTCTGTGTCTTCTCCTTCTTCTGTTTCTTTTATCTTTATTTTCTCTGCTCTGGCTTCTGATTCTGCAGGTTCTGCACTCTTCTTCAATTTCTCTACACATATACATATGCATTTCTATATTGGCATTTCAGTCAATCTTGTGATAAATGACATTAATGTTATACACAGAGTGATAGAGAAATCAGAGATATATATAATATTGTTACAAGAGCAGCTTGCAGGCCTCAGATTCCTTGCAGATCTCAAGTTTTGAGATTTTCTTTATTTTTGATATTTTTTAAGTGATGTGACATTGAAAATAGATTAAATATATAATGTATGAAAATGAATGAGATATATATGATAACATTTATCTTTTTACAGTTAACTCTTACAGTTAATAATCAATTCATTATCTCTTTTCTTTTCTTACACTTTTTCTTTATCTGCTAGTTACTACTCTTACATGACCTCTATATAGTACAGTGTTCAGTGACTAGATTCAGCAGCTTTCATCTTTGTGATTCTGTCTCATGCATTATACTGTCTCTCTTCACCTACTCAGATCACTACAGTAAATAGTTCATTAAAACTAATCTTGTCTGACCTCTGAGTGTTTTTAGAGATTGAGATAACTTAGTCTCACATATCTGCAAATATTTCAGATAGTTCATTCTCTGTGATCTCTGTGATTAAACTGATGTAAACAGTTAAATTCAACTCTGAATTTCTTTTTCTTCTGTAATCTGATTCATATGCAAGTCTGCTGCTCTGAGACTGCTCTTTACTATGTTGTATCTGCTATCTGCAGTGTGTTATCATACAACTGACTACAGTCTCATCACTTATTGAAGTGTGATATTCATCTGATTTCTTCATTTCTTCTCATTCTCTTCTTATAATTATGAAAAGATTGGAATAAGTGAGATCATCTAGTTTGTAAGCATCTATGATTTCTCTTACTTTGTGAGACTTTTTAATTATAAGTCTCTTCTTTTTCAACACTGATGATAGTGCTGTAGATGATTATAATCTTCTCAGATCTTATATCTTTACTTTTACAAGTTATAAATTATTGATTAAGTTGTATAAGATCTGTCTCTCTGATTCTTTCAATGCATACATTCTCAGAGAATGTGATTTGAGTATTTTATATGACTTAAATCATCTAGATTGAAACTTCTCAGAACTCTCATTATATATGAGAACTTATATTCTCATCTTAAGACTTGATTCCTTAACAAGTGAGTCTTATATTCTTTTTGATTGAATTGCTCAGTTCAGGAGTAACTTATTAGCTTTTGCATATGCATGGCTGATCTCTTTCAATCTTGATTGCATGTCCGTGACTGTTGTGTCTGTAACTGCTGTTTCTGCTATGTCCGCAACTGCTGTTTCCTCTCTCACCTTTTCTGAAGTATTCTCCGGGATGCGCGGATGCAATTCATACAACAGGTAGAATGGTGAATGCTTGGAGACTGCATGCTGTTGAATCTGCATAGTCAATAGCGCCTGCCTGAGATATTCATCTCATAGTCTTGTAGACTTACTAGACTGGCCGTCGGGACCATGAATTTCACGTTTGATCTCATTTGGTCTGGTCTCATACATTTCTTGGCGTGAATCCCGCTGAGACTGGCTATCAAAAAAACAGGTAAAGTGACTATATATCAGATCTTAAAATGGAACCATGACTTGAAAAAAATGAGAAAGTAGTCTCATTTGGTCCCATTTAGTCCCATTCTTGGCATAAAGTTACTATTTTTAGACATTTTAAGGTTTTTTTTAGACTATTTTTAATTTTTTAAAAAGTAATGCTTTTTGATAACACTCAAATGAGATTTAAAGTCATTTAAAGCAATAAAAATAATTTAAATTGAGAAGTAGAAATCATGGTCTCATTTGGAAAATGTGACAAGAGTAGACAGTAAGTTCCACTGAGACAGTATGGAACCACTATCTAATGTTAAAACCGTGTAATGAGATCAGTCGAATTGGTAATGAGACTATCAAAAAATCTGGTCCTGGTCCCAGACACGGTCACACGGTCAGTCTAAGACTTACTCACTAGATATTTCATCAGCATGTTGCTCAAGATTCTATTCAAATGTTTCATCTTCTCATTCATCTGTGAATGATATAGCATTGTTCTACAATGTCTTGTCTGTAACTGGTTCATGAAATACCTCATCACTCCTTCTATGAGATTTGCACTGTTATCAGTTAGAATCTCACACAGTATTTCATAGTTGACATAGATCTCATCATGTAGAAACTTTGTCATCACCTTCTCTGTCATCTCTGAAACTGCTTTCACAACTGGCCAGTCAGTAGTGTAATTAATAGCAGTGATTATTCATCAATTTTCATTTGATGTTCATGACAATATATCTATAAGATTCATTTCTCATCATTTGAACAGTTGTATTCATACACTCTATCTGATATTGCACTTTCTCACATTCTAACTCTTTCTTAGATTCTTTCACAACCTGATAATTCAGGCACTTATGAGTATACATCTGAATGTTCTCAGTCATGCTTGATCAGTATACTCTTGATTCAAGTATGCTTATGAGTTCAGAGCTTTCTAAGTGACTGAATTCCTTGTGCATGTGAGTCATCAAGTCACATTGAAATGAAGATTCTAGATAGAGAGCTTCTGTGTATTCTAGATTGCAGTAAAGCACAATGTCATTTTTCAATTTCTTCAGCTTAAAGTTCAGAAGCATCTCTTCTACTACTTTCATAAGACACTTATTATCTGATATCTTGTCATTCTTCAAGTGAGAGATTATAATATTCACTCATTCTAATTCCTTGCATTCTCTCAGCATGTTTAATATGAATGTCTCTTGTGTCTGATTCACAGAACTCTCACTCATGAAATCAGGTCTGTGACTGATTGCATTAGATATTACAGTGTCTGATTCTTTTCAGTATTTAATATGAAGATTATACACTTGAAACTCTGAGATTCAACATACTAAGTGTTTGAAAGATTTTATCATTGATTATAGATAGACAAGACTTTCATAATCTATGATCATTATTGTTATATACTTATTATCAATATATCTATCTTATAACATCAGTATATGCTTGATCACTAGCAATTTCTTTTCATACACTGAGTAATTGAGCTTAGTATCTGATAGTTTTCTATTATTATACATTATCAGATGCAGCTTGCTGTTCTTACTCATCTGTAGAAGAATGTCTCTAATAGCTCATTTAAATGCATCTGTCTCAATATAGAAAGATTTATTATAATCTGATTGAATAAGCACTGAAGATGTTGTTACATGTTTTCTCAGTGTGAGAAAAGCCTCTTTCCACACAGCATTTCAGATAATTGAATGAAACTTCTTCTTTCACAGATTTGTATTTATTTCTCTTAAGAGATTTGAGAGTGATGCAGATATTCATACAAAATCCTTGATAAATCTACAGTAGTATGAGATCAACTCAAGAAACTGTTGTATATAATGTATATTTCTCAGTCATAATCAATTCACTATAACATTCAATTTCTTCAGAATGAGATATACACAGTCATCACTCACTACATATTTTACAAACTCTAACTCTTTCATTTCAAACATATACTTGATTGATTTGATATAGAGCTTATACTCTGTCAGAGTTATAAGCACTTTATCAAGATACTTCAGATGTTCATTATATGAGTTTGAAAAGACTAGAATGTCATTGAGATATATAAGATATGAGGTTTCATTCTGTTTATGAAGAATTGTATTCATCATTATTTGAAAGATGATGAGTGTATTTATCAGACTGAATGATATTGTCAGGAATTCAAACTTTTCTCATTGTATATTAAATATAATTCACAGAACTGACAGTTCATCTACATGAATCTGTCAGTATTCTGAGAGAAGATTGATCTTTGATAAATATCAGGTGTTTCTGACTGTATTCAACTGTTGTTGAATTTATGACAGTGAATATTCATTCTTGATTATAAGCTTATTAAGTGCTTGATAATTGATACATATTTATCACTTCTCATCTGTCTTTTTCATGAATAGAACTAAAAAGTCTTATATGCTTGATGAGAATCATATGAGATCACATTCTAGAAGGTCTGTAATCTGACACTTCTGTGCTTTGAGATGTGTTTGTGACAGAGAGTATGCATTCTGATTGACTGGTTTTACATTCTCTATATCAATCTCATGTATGAATCCTTGTTTCAGCAGCAATTCTGATGAAAGATCTGTTCAGAAGATCTTCTCATACTTCTTCAGAAGCTTCTTCATACACTTGTTCTCTCACATATTCTTTATCTTAGTTTTCTTCACTTTCAGGTTCTGTATA